TTGACAGTGCATTAGCGAGGAACTTTATTCACGCAGATAAGACACCAGTAATAGCCTTATTCCTCGGAGAAAAACCAGGAGAACGGAGATGCAGTTGGGTTGAAATTTCGGCAGCATGCTTTTATCGGAAAAGGCAGAAATGAATTTAAAATTGTCTACCGATGATCCTACTCGTTTTTTCAGGTTTTTCAGTTTCTGCTATTGTCTCGATAAAGGCATGCTGCCGACATATCAACTCAACTTTATCTCCCCTTTCCCGAGTTTTCTCCGAGGAATAAGGCTATTACTGCTGTCTTATCTTTTGAAAGTTTGGTCAAAAACTCATCCATTGGTAGGCTAAGTTCAGATTAAGTACAGCGAGCTGCGCTCACGCACTGCGTAATCTGATTTTATTGATTGAACCCAAAATTTCCTCTGCTTACGCACTGATAGGTTTAGTCAAAAACCATCGCACACATCCTAAGCGTGAGCACTTCTCACACTCACGCATCCTGGACTCATGTCCTCTTAAGTGGCATCTCGCAGGTCAAGATATTCCATTATCAGCTTTGCGTTATAGTGATAACAGCACACGCAAACCGCATGCGTGCCGCTGCCACCGATCAGGACGCAACGTTCGCGGGATAAGGCCTCATGTTTGCATGCCATTTTATCCTAACAGGGTTCCAAGCATTCGTAGCATTTCTTACTCAAACATTTTGACCAATTAGTGTGTTAGAAACATCGCAGAGCGCACCCGGTAGGAAAAGCAAAGCAAATGAAACACTTTTCATGGTTGTGAGCAGGGAGTCCAATGAGATTTGTCACGCAGCAGCGGCTACTTCAAATCAAAATTCTAAGCTGTTCAGGATTTCGAGAAAACTGGCATTACCAATAAAATAGGGCGTGTCTGATCTGAATAAGTGGGTACAAAAAAAGGTCGCATCCTTCCTTTAAACCTCGCCGTGCTCTCGTTTTGTGTTTCTCAAATGAAATGGCAAAGCGGGGTTGTTGAGCGTTTCACTGTTGTAAGACACTGTCAATACACCCACGCGCTCCACCCGCACAACAGGCACTGATCCAAGGCTCTATCACTGTGCCTTTGTCCGACTGAGTTGCCCCACATGAACAGGAGGCCACACTACCTTCGCAGTACGCAGTCATCCCCCCCCCGCTCCAGTTACCCCGGCTGAGACAGTACACATGAGGGATGGGAAGATAGGGGGGGGGGGGGGGGGGCAGACGGCTGCGGCGGTGCGCCGCGCGCCCAGTCTTCGTGCACTACACATTATTCATCTGTGCATGGACTTTGTCTTTCCAAGCAGATAGCCAACCTTGGCATATCAGAAATTCGGGTAACAAACCACGCTCTTTTACACGCTGATGAAAACATATTTGTATCACATCGAAATGTTGCGCTTCGTGCCCTGGGTATTGTTGATCGTGCAATAACGATTTCAGGAGTGGCGTGCAAATACTCGGACAGTCTTCTGATTATTTTAACATATATACCTGCCAAATCATATTTCAAGCGAGCGAAAGAAGTTTGCCACCGAAGATAACTTTGCAATTGCAAAACTCGAAATCGCCGAAGGCCATAACTCGGAAACGGTGCAACTGATAGATTTAGAAAACGTTACCAGTGACTTCAGCACTGATGGCAACTTCAAAAAACCAATTTAATCAAAATCCGAGGGTTGATGGTATAGGGCACTTGCCGATCTGTCGTGGAATGTCCCAGTTTATGTGTTAAAACAGACTGGTTTATCTGGAATAAGAACGGACCCTAAGCCTAAGCCCTAAGCCTGTTTTACGCGTGACAAAGCGCATGCCAACCATAAGATGCCAGAACGTCATACACCCACACAGCGTCATTGCAGCACAAGACCAAATTACGCTTCGTCTTCGTTCTTACAAAGTGAGAGAACCGGCACGGATCTTCAGGCAAGACATTCATGTTCACCGTGCTTTGTGGACATACATGGCAGTCCAGCGTTCTCATTAAGTCGTTAAATATTCCAGGTTATCGAAGCGAACACACCGGCCAGTGAAAAATGCTGCACCAAGTGTCAATTCCGGATACCGTCTAATTTGGGCGGCGAGCATCGCCAAACCGCTATGTTGCATAAGGATGCTGGAGTATCCCTTTAGCCTGCCGCTGGTTAATGAGTCAGTGTTCGTCATAATCAGCTTACTTCAGTGAAAGGTGACATGTAGCTGACGGTGACCTTGGGCTTTAAGCGTTGCAAGGCCTGACCTACATTAGCTATTTACCTGCGGTTTAAGTGAACTCTGCAGCTTCCAACTCTGAAGCTATCACCAGTCACATGATGGGAATGGCCGCACATCCTGCTAGCTTACAGCGACGCGAGTGTGCCTTTTCCTATATCCGCTTTGATACGAGGCTACATTGCCAGTTATGATCAATATAAACACGATGGTACAGTTAGAGCTCCGCTAGTATATTTGCGACATGAAAATTGACACGGGTCAAACCTGTAATGGGCCAGAAGCAGAATTAATCTCTTTTTGTCACGATAAAAAATTGGATCTTATATGATCTCATGATCTTATATGATCTCATTGGGGCTCAAGGACCGGGCTTACGGGCCCATCGCAGATTACGTGTAATGAGTTGGTGATTCACTTTCGGCACCAAGTGCAGGGAAGATCCTGCACACGCCGCTGTAAAAAGCCCGCTAACAGCCGGCGGCGGCGCCGTGTTCACCGGCCGCGGCTGCTGCGGGACGCCGCGGCGGGCTCAGCGTGTAATCCGCAGCGGTCAGCGAGAGAGAGCGAGCGGCCGAGGGCCGTGGCGGGCCGGACTGGGCCGGACTGGGCCGGACTGGGCAGGCCAGTGTGCATCACCGGCCCTCCTGGGGCGCTCCATCTTCAGGAGTCGCCCGATAACCGCACAAGGGGTGCACTGTCCGCGTCGGGAGCACGCCACGTGCCACCGCCAGAGGCGTGCCGACCACTGCCTGCGTCGTCGGGACACGCCCGCATCCCACCGGCACAATGACGGTCTTGAGCGGTGTCCTTTGGCTGCTGCTGCTTTCTTCAGTGGCCTCGGCTACTCCGTTCAGCAATTGTGGTAAGTGGGCAAATGCCGTATGGGTATGATTCGGAAATGGTACGTGCTGTTGCGTGAAATGGCTGTAATTTGACTCAGAGCTGAGCATCGAAAGATTGCATTCCGCTGTGGTGACTACTGAATGCAACAATTGAATGACCATTGAATGCAACAACTCAACGACTATTGAATGTAACTTATTGAATGTTTCGTAAATACAATGACCCATCGTGGTCAGGCATGCACCGCGCGTCATGCGATGTCGATTGTGGCGCTATACTAAGTGCTGCGTTCAGCGGTACCAGTCAATTTAACATGACAGACCACCATTTTTTTGCGCTCCGTCAGAAACGCTTTTGGACAATGTGTGAAGAAGTAGGTGCCCCTAGCCGTCGCAGCCGCAGGTTTGTATCCGTGGGAAGGTTCAAGACGTTGGAAAGCTGGCACAGGGCATACTGTAGTTCCCAGCTTACGTCAACTGCCGCGGAAAACGACGGTCTGCGAGACTCGCGGCAGTGGCGCTCTGAGACGCGACGAGGACGGAACGTGGCGGGATAACGTACCAAACAAGTGAAAAGGCCACGTTCTTGTGGATTCTTTTCCGCGCCAGCGTACGGTGAATGTTAAGCTGTGACGACAGATGACAACGGCAATGCCTCTCGGCCGGCCCGTGCGTCATCTCATGTAGAATCGGGTCAGCGCAATGTCCGCTGCCGTCATGGGGATTTTCGTGACTGCTTACCGTGGCCTTGACCTGGGAGGTGCGCCACAAATCCCACAGCTGTAAAACCTTTCAAGGCTATCTCGCAGCTCGAGGAAATCGAGAGGAGTGTCAGGGCTTGTACGGCAAGGTTTACTAAGTTACATTATTATTCAGCACAGCCCGACCAAGGAACCGTTGTAAGCACAACAGGTGGAGGAATGACGGTAGTACTTCAGTATTTGTAGACATTATTAGACTTACTACTATTTCCGTGCTGGTGTAAATACTGGTATAGATACCTTTTGCTATCAAAGCAGTAAGCAAGATCAACTGTAGAGATTTGCAATGGGGACACAACTCCCAAATTTGCACAGAAAACTCAGAGTTGCGCGCCGAAAGATCGTAGCATTTCTCTCATGACGTACAACAGCCTCGGATGTTGAGGATATGTTTTGTTTCACGTTTCTGTCTCGAACTTTTAATTGTCAATGCGCCATTGCGAACACATTAAAGCATGCCAGCACTATGATAGGGGAGGGCCACGTGACCCGTGGCCAATACATGGATACGCCCCCTGTGGTAAGCCCCACCGGAACTTATTACTTTGACAGTAGCACGCTCCGGTGGGTATGTGCCAGGTTTGCCTTAGGCCTCCACGTCACCTCGACTATCATCCGGCACGCTACTCCCACTTGTATGCTGACCGCTCGTTTTGCTTGTTCAGGGTTCACGGGCGCTCTGCTGGATGTCAAGGTGGGCGACTGCGACCATCTGCCTTGCGTTATCAAGAGGGGCTCGACGGTGCCCATGCAGGTGCGCTTCAAGGCGGGTGAGTCACCGGAGCCCGTGCCGTGCCGCACTTTGTCGTCGTGTCACCTGTCATTTGCATCGCATCACTGTCATTTACATATGTTATTGCGAGATCCCGTCCCGACAGCGACTGCTGGAACTCTGGCCAGATCTCTGGTTAATTGAATGTGCAGTGTGGCTAGCATTGCAGGAGCATTAGAAATAAATTGTGACGCGATATTTGGAGACACGCTGCGGGAAGCAAAATCGGAACACTGCAGCATAACATAACGCTGGTCAGTAAAAGACACAACTGCTGCAGATTCATCACGTAAAAACGCTCAAAAAAGCTGGCAAACAGTTCTCCATGGCCCTCATTCATGGCGTTGAGCATACCCTGTGCATAATCTGCCGCAATCACTGGAAATCTCGCTTGTAAAATGTGTGTTCCAGTTCAGGAGATTGTCAGCATGAAATCAATGATATTTGGCCTTCTCGACAACATCCCAATACCACTGGATTACGATAATCAGGTAAGATGTCCGTTCAGGAGACCAAGGAGGTTGGAAGAGTTGAATAATGAGATGTTTTTTACCTATTCCACTTCCATTTATAAAACGCTTCACACACACGCACGCATACACGCCCACACGTACACCCGCGAGCGCACACACACACACACACACACACACACACATCCACACACAGATTATATATATATATATATATATATATATATATATATATATATATATATATATATATATATACTTCTATCTATCTATCTCTCTCTTTCTCTCTCTTCTCTCTCTCTCTCTCTCTTCTCTCTCTCTCTCTCTCTTCTCTCTCTCTCTCTCTCTCTCTCTCTCTCCGTGCATGCATTTATTGGCATATGTACTTTGCTGCCATCGCCAATGGACGTAATCGCGGCTGGAGATCCGTATGTTCAGGCCTTGATTACGACAAAGGACCACAGACAGCAGCCTCGGCAGTCTACGCGGCATCGCTTTGCCAATCCATCCTGGAGCGAGTGCCGCAGATGGGCCGACGCCTCCCTGCCCGCAGATGTGCAGCCAGATGCTCGCCGGCCGCTGCCCAGCCAAGGCGGGCCAGGAGCTGACGTATGCCGTGGACCTGCCCGTCGCCGCCGACATGCCGGCCGTCGGTATCACGCTCGAGTGGCACATCACCGACCAGCACGACGCCACGGTCCTCTGCGCCCTGGTGCCGGCACAGTTCACCTGAACAGGGCAGGGCAGTGGCGGCCGTGGGCCGCGGGACCTGGCCCGTCTCGGCCGGCGGAGAGCCGACGGGGTCGCGGAGGACGTGAGGGTGCAAGATGAACAGCGAAGGGACGCTAGACGTGCTCGGCGGGCAGTGAGCTTGCTTGCGATCGGCGTCCGTGGGATCTTGTGCTGTCCGCATTTGATTTACCGGTTTATGGGTGCGTGATCACCAAGAAGCAGTGTTCAATAACAGAACACGGAAGGTAAACGCCACACGGATCTACACATGTGAGCGATGGGCGCAAAATGACCCTAGACGTCGACGCGCCCTAAAACCCCAATCACAACATGTGAGCGAAAATGTGGTGCGCGTTATCCACGAAGGTACACAATAAAAAGATCAGAAAATCTCAGCGTTGCTAGTTGCTATACAATGAGCAGGCAACATCGTTGCTGTCCAGTTACACCATTGGCAACGACACAAGTTTTACGATAACGAGAAAGCGCTAAAACTGAAAACATCCGCTGTTGGAGATTGATGCAAAAAATTGTCTATTTGCGATGGAGGCGGTCAAGAAAGTTTAGGAGCGTTTTAGGGGCGAGTTTAAGAGCGTCTATGCGACCATAAGAATGAAGCAGTGAAAAAAGAAGGAAAAGTGGCACGCACAGGTCTGTGGAGCAAAAGCATAAAACCCGACTGAGGAATCATTGTCACTCCGGCGAACATTGCGAGGAAATGACAGGTCACACTGAGGATCCCTGGCTTCTGAAGGCAGTGGTATTGGCCCTACGGGGCCAGCCAGGTTTGCCTGGTGAAATTCTGGCATTGAAGGCCAGTCTGCAATGGCGTCATCATGACAACAAGCCATCTGATTGTTCCATAACGGATTTGTAAAAAAATTGACCGCGGTTAATTTTGCACCACAAATTTCGTACGCCTAAATTGGGTCAATGCGAAGCCCCACGACCGGCTGTGGAATGCTCCTAACGGATACAAGGCCTGGGATGACTGGCAAGGAAGTCATTACTTCCTGCAGCGAGTTGGGCATACAAGCGCCGACCCATCAATGCCCTCCCCCCCCCCTCCCCATCGGAGCCCCTAAGGAAGTCTTCGTATTTTGCTCAGAGGTATCACACAGCATGAACTTTTGCATGATTGTAGTATTCTAGCCCAACGGTTGTTCACGAAACAACGCGAACCTCCTCGCCCAAGTGCCGAGGGCGAGAGAGAGAGAGGGGGAGAGAGAGAGAGAGAGAGGGAGGGAGGGGGAGAGAGAGAGAGAGAGGGAGGGAGGGGGGAGAGGAGAGAAAGAGAGAGAGAGAGAGAGAGAGGGAGGGAGGGACAGAACGGGGAGACGAGTATGCTATACAAAATATAGACAAAATATAGCATCTGCCTCAGCGTTTGCTGATTGTTTTGCATCTTGCGGTAACCTGGGTGCGGTGCTCCAGAATAGCTGCAGAGCATTGATGGCACTGCAACCGGCTGAAGAGAAGAGGCACTACCTATTGCAAGTCAATATATGCATTGCTGCATGGTGCACCAACCGATGGAGTTGGCTTGCAAAGGCATACGGGGCTGGCCTGGCCCAACCGAGAACGGGCTGGCTTGGGAATGTTACTTCGTCCGCGGTGTGGGAGGAACGCTGACGAGAGCCGTCGTACAGGCAGGGAATAACTAACTGGAACTACGATGACAAACCAGAGTGAGACGCGGTCACAAAAATGGTGGGGCAAACAGATGAATAACGCATATCTATGGTCACTGTGCTTTGCTAGACAGAGCATCTGATTCAAAATACGACGTCGACGACAAAACCGCATTCCGCGGCTGGTAAAGAACGTACTTCACCCATGATATATTGCTGTTAGTGCAAGCTCTACCGTTGGCCACATTAAACCTTTCTGCAGACAGAAGCAACATGACGATACCCTCCTCTAGGATCGCTCCCACATGACAGCGGCGCCCACCGCAGCCTGTTCATGCTACACACGTGGGCACGCGTCCGACAGCGACGGAACAGCGTTCGACTTGCTCATCACCTGATTGTTCGTTGATTTCTGGCCACTCAGTTGAAATATCATATAAACTGGCTTGCTGCTGAAGGGGCCCCAACACCCATTCACACCCATCCAGAATAACGCGCCTCACATTTATATACCTTCCTCCTGTTAGCAGCGTGTAACAGCCCCGCCCAACGACGTCTCCGATAGTTTTTCATGTCCCTATCACCCAGTCACATTCTACACACATTTCTTCACACCCGCTGATTTCTCTTACAAATTGTACACGACTTTACCGCCGCAGCTTTTTAATCAAATTGGCCCTTCTTGCTGCCGGAGTTCCCAGCCCACACCTGTCCCCGTTATCGCTACTCCCACACGATACCCTGTCCACGAGCGCTGGCGTGGTCGATTGTGGGGTTCCTGGACGTCACCGTCCGAAGTACAGCCTCGATTCAGCGAAGAGCGCGCCACCGCCTGACAACAGCGCTCCCGCCCCTGTAGATCTGCCAGCGCTGACGTCTCCCCCGAATACCCTGACAACGGTCCACAATTTACAGCTGCGTTATGGCGGTGCTACAGCCGGGTCGACGGCACAATCGCCTCCGGCCGACACGCGGAGGCACACTAGACCCGCACGTGTCTGAGAGGCCTCCCGCCCGTGCAATGCCCAGCTCCAGCCGCGCCGACCGCTGCCCCTCGAGCGGCCGCCCTCGCGGTCCGGCCCGAGCGGCTGCGGCAGCTGCCAGTCGCCAGGCGCCCCGGTCCTCTCTCCGGGCTGCGTTGCCAGCGACCGGCCCGGGGAGGGACGGGGGGGGGGGGGGGGGGAGGGCGGGGCGGGCAGGGCGCCTGCCGTCTACTGGTCGCCGATGACCTCGAACGTAACGCCGCGATGGTTCAGCCGCTCGATCAGAGATGTCTCTGCGAACGCCGCGCCCGGCGCGTACACGCCACCGCTGAAACGAACGTGAACGTGCCTGGGTCAGCCAACACATCTCCGCACTGAAGCAGTCACCGGCTACGCATCGGTCCACCAGCCCACTACCGGGACCGGCACAGACGGCCGCTGACACTGGGTCAACCAAACATCACCGCAACGAAGCCAACACCGGCTGCGCATCGGCCCAACAGCCCACTACCGGGACCGGCACAGACGGCCGCTGACACTGGGTCAACCAAACACACCATCAGTACTGAAGCCGACACCGGATGTACATCGCATGTCGCATGCATGTGCACCTTCAGCACTGAAACACACATGTTCATCCCCGACCGACTCAATACGAACGATGTGGGCACGCTATGCCCGAATCAGTATGAGTTCAGAGCTCTTATGCTGAGTTATCCACCCTCAGCACACCAGGAGGTACTGGTTAAACGAGTTATAGCGCATGGGTTGTTTTGAGAGTGCTCGGTACAGCAATGACTACTGTCAGTATAACCAATGTTCGCACTGCAACGTCGTTGAAGCAGCACCTCCTGGCAAAGTGAGGACCAATAAGTCAGCATAAGACCCCTGCAAACAGCAGGATGATGGCGATGATTTGGGCTTTGGGGCGCGCCGACCACGTCGGTCATATGGCACCCAGCCGAAACAGCAGGAGCTGAAGGCCTTGCTTTCTCATATCATGTCCGCATCACTCCAAGTCAATGAAATGATCCGACCGCTACGCTGGAGCAAAATGACGAGCGCTCAAACCAAACGAATGCATGCAACTCTTTTCCAAAAGAGTCGTGCATTAAGCAGAGTGTGAACAACAATAATCACACAGAGTAGATAGGACGACATACACGCGGCTTCAGCGTTCTTGAGGAACCCTTCGACGCATGGTGAACGAGGTCAAGATATTACAATGGATGCAACTAAGCCGTAGCGTCCTTCTTCCTTTGGCATCGCTCTCGTTGCGTCTGTTTCAACGAGGCGGATGGACCGTTGCGACACCGGGATTGGTCAGTATTAACGGTCTAACCCCAATCTTGTGGTTTCCCAGTCATGACAACCCTGTGGTTGACAGCCGCCGAGCTTTGGCGCAGCGTGAGTTACGGGACGACACAACCGCATACTCGTGTAAGGTGAGTCTAACGAAGACAGCGCACGGTAAGACGGGCGGTGACTCTGAGACCCCAAGACTACCTGAGGTCAGAAGCCCCAATGAGACAGAGTCAGGTCATGTCATGTCAGAGTCTGAGTCATGTCAGAGTCTGAGTCATGTCAGATCAGGGAGCTGCTGACGAGCGGCAGACAGGAGCATGGTGCGGGGCTCACCTGCCGGGCATCTTGCCAGGTTCTTCAAGATGCTGAGAGCGCACTGTACCAGACAGATCGGCGTGGCCACGTATCCGCACTCCGGACCCGACACCTGTTGGCGACGGGCGGAGTTAGTAGTGGGATCCGACACGCTGCGAGGCTCTGCTCCCCGCGGCTAATACTGCGAGCCGACCTCACTCGAGACCGTGTCGGTGTATCAGTTCCAACTGGCGTCCCGGGACATCGGGCCTCGCAACGGTCCCGAATAACGCAGGATGACCGTCCCGTCCCCTCCCCCCCGTCCAAGTCGGCATACAGATCAGCATGACGACGTGTTGGTGTCACACGAAGGAAAGTAGAAGCGACCTCCACGTGCTGAAGCTCCATGGATGGCATGCATTAAGGATACATTTCGGAATTGGACTCAACTGCATTGGACGCATTCCAAGGAACAGCAATCCAGATTTCAAGATTAGTACACTGATCGGTACAAACTGAATGGAGAACAGTAAGCAAACGTTGAATGTCAACTGAGAAACTGCTATGTGCCCACACGCGCTATATTTGGTGTTTTACGTCAAAGGTGATGGAAAGTGATCGACTGGAATGGAACTAAACTGAGTTATTTTTGTAATGAGGGAGGTGTATATTGGAGAGCTAGTGACAGACGCCAATCCAATTAGTGGGCGGAGCTGGATTCGATCTGGCCTAACTGGGTCGGACGGAGAGAGGGATAGCATCGATACTTAAGGGTCTCGCCACGTACCCTGGGGCCACCATCGTCTGGTCGAAAGGTCGGACGGGGGAGGGATAGCACGACGCT